TTTCAGTAAATCATTATCAAATTACTCTTCAATCAGGTTCAGATTATTCACAAACACGTGGTAAAGTAACTATTACACTTATTGGTAGTGTTAACACTGTTACAGTTACTTTTGATGAGTGTGTATATGATTTTTTTTGTATATTGATCGACATTTCGGTTCTTACGAATTATTTAGTGACCAAACAACATTTAAACGTGGTTCGGTTGAAAATCGTTTCATTCCTTTGACAGTTGATATTGGTGAAGTAAGAAATATTGATCTTGATTTCAAGAAAACAAACAATATAATATCATCATCATGGTATTCAAATTCATGGACATTTACTAAAGCGACTATACTCAATGGTGATACTCAAAATAGGTATATTTCAAACATAGAATCAATGAATAAACATTATTTCTTTTTTTTTTTGTAACATAGTCGATCGTTTTGTCCTACTCAATCGATCATTACATCTGGCTCCAAACTTCGATTTACTCCTTGCTAACGTTCTTCATTTCCTGATGTTTTTTTTCGCAATAAAAAAAAACCATTCTAAATTGGCATCAGGAGACAAGAGTTGAGAAATACTTTTCTTTTTTTTTTTGCTTAAAACAAGAGATATTGAACTAGAATATATTAAAATTTTGCTATCGTTTGTGAATTATGGTTCTACGAATAAATTGTTGATATTGAGATTCAAATTAATTAAAACAATGATGAATATAGAGATAGAATTTACAAAAAATGATATGTGAGCTAGCTGTAAGATGACAATTACGTGACTATAAAGGTGTAAAAAATTAATAATTTAGTATAAAGAATTTTTTCATCGAAGATCTTGTAGTCTTTATTGAAATTTTTTTGATATCGTGTCTTGCTGTTGTATTTTTTTTTTCGGTATTAATAATTCACTAAGAAGAATAGCATTAAGAAACAATCATTGTTGCTATGTCATGCTCTGGAATTATTTTGAAAGATATGTTCATAACACGTATATCATGGAGCAATTAGCACATCTATTAGATAAAAAAAAAGCATCTCTACAAATTTTCTACTGGATTCAATACAGTGCTTATCAAAATAATTATTTGGATTAAAAATATGGAAAATTGTTTTGATCAAACTTATCGAATTAATTCCAAGAATAAAGAATCATTGAACTTTATATTGCATATTACTTTGAGACTACTTCGACCTTGTTTTTCAATAATATTGTTAGTCTCTTTTGATGATCATAAAACAATATCTCAATTTAAAAAGTTTTGGAGTTTTTCAATATTTGAGATCAAGTATGTCGGCATCTCGAACATAGTACGAGTCAAAAAAACAGATATTGAAAGAGGTATCTTACTTCTTGCGTAGTTTTCAAAAGAACAAACGAAATCTGTTGTTAGTTCCAAACAAAGTTAAACACAGGTGATCATTGTTCTCAACTACTCGCCTACTCGTATGAGTAGGAACCAATCATAGATATAAACCCATTGCTTCAAATCGATTACTTTAATATTTCCTGATAAGGAAAGTCAGTAGGTGTGTGCATCAATCAAAATGTTGTTTCGCGTTGCTGTTTCTTTTGTATGTCTTGCTACCTTAGCGGTTCACGCTGAGTTTCTCCCTGGTTAGTATATAGATTTTATTTGAATACGATTAATTTCAAAATATATCAATATATATAGTTCATGGTAAACGAGCATCTGATATTTGTTATGATGAATATGGATGTTTTACTACGGCAAAACCATTTGGTAAAAATAATTGTTATTATTATTATTATTATTCATTAATAAAGTATTGTTTTGACACTAGGTGGAACATTACAACGACCATTCTCCCTTTTGCCTGATCGAGTATAGTTTTATGATAAATTCGTTCTTATTTTCATTTCTCTAATCTTTTGTTATTTTTTTTTAGCCTGACGTAATCAGAACAAAATTCTATTTGTATACAAGAGCAACACGTAAAAATCGTATTGAAATTAGTCGTTCAACGGCTCTTGATCCATGGAGTGCAAGCAAACCAACCAAGATTTGTGTTCATGGCTTCGTAGATAGCATGAATACACCATGGTGGATGGATATGAAAAATGCTTTGCTCGACGCGGTACGCATCAATCAATGAAGAACTTTAGTGTCATCATCTATTATCGTATATGTCTGTATTTTAGGAAGATGTTAATGTGATTTTGGTTGATTGGTCAAAAGGTAATGGATTTCCATACACAAAAGCGACAGCAAACACTCAAGTAGTTGGTGCTGAAATTGCTTTACTTATCAACTATATGATTCAAAATCACGGTGCTAAAGCTGCAGATTTTCATGTTATTGGTCATTCACTTGGTAGCCATGTTTCAGGATATGTTGGTAAACGAGTTGTTGAACTTGGAAGAATAACAGGTAATTATAAAAATAAGCATTTACTGAGATGAAAAGTTATTTGATTGTTATAGGATTGGATCCTGCTGGTCCTTATTTCGAAGATACTGATCCAGCAGTTCGTCTTGATCCTACTGATGCTTTATTTGTCGATGTTATTCATACTGATGGTGCTCATAATCTTCTTCTTGGTCTTGGTATATATAAAACATTATTTCATCATTGCTTAGTCAAATATTCTATACAATTATATCTTTGTAGGTACTCTTCAACGTATGGGTCATGTTGATTTTTATCCTAATGGTGGTTTCGATCAACCTCGTTGTTCAAAGACACCTGGCAAAATTTTGAATCTTATTCTTCAACTTGGAACAATGAATGTTGATGGTAAATCATCAAGATTATTATAAATATACATATATGTATCTTTTGTTTTTTTTTTTTTATTGTATAGGCTTTTTAGAAACATCATTGTGTAGTCATTTGGCTGCTGTCTATTTCTTTACTGATTCAATTCGTAAGGAATGCCCATATGTAGGATATTCTTGTCGTAATTTTGATGATTTTAATTCGGGTAAATGTTCATTGCAATGTGATGGTAAAACTCATCAATGTAATCGTATGGGTTATTGGACTTCACCTACTGGTGGTAAAGGTGATCTGTATTTGAAAACTCAAGATGCTAATGCTTTTCCATATTGCAGTAAGTCTTATTAGCTCTCTTATACAAATAGAAATGAAAAACAAATATGATTTATTTTTGTTATTTCAGTAAATCATTATCAAATTACTCTTCAATCAGGTTCAGA